GCAATTGGTGCGGTGTGTCATAAATATAGTCCAGTGGTGTTAAATCGCACGATTTCATTTTTTGGTTGGCAATATAGTAAGTAGTGCAGTTATGTTGGAACCAAAGGCCGTCCACATCAACATTGCCTCTTGCTTTATGGACGGTTCCAAATTTTAAAGAAATATGAACCAATGATTCCCTCTGTCGAAAGAGCAAACCAAACAGTGACTTTTTCAGGATAACCATCGCTTCAAATGCGATAATTTCGCTTATTAAAATGGCTCATCTACCGAACGCTCTCGCTTGATGATCGAACGGCTTTAATTCCTGCACAGCTTAGATGATGTAAGACCGAAAATGAATTTTTTCCAGTGCATGGGTATAGCCCCAAATGTTGCCCGGGATGACGAGTGGAGTCATTCGGGTTTCCTGCGATACTCTCTCTGTATGCACTGTATGCGGTTTTTAAGAATATGCGTTATACACTAGAGTAAACATAGTGTCAAACCCATTCGTTGTTTGCTCAAATTACTGACTATGCTGGGCGACAATGTCGACCGAATATTGGTGTTATTATTTTGGTTTGGTGATAAATTGACACGAGTTACAAGCGTTGGAATACTCACTATTAAATGGCTAACCAAACTGAGTCAGCTGTCTAAAAGACTAAGCACAACATAAGTGTTGCCTCATTGGAAATTAAATTGCTAAAAAGCACCTTTTATTTGTTTAATACAGTCGGTAAGGTATCAAAAAAAAAATCGCAACATTTAATTATTTCCATTGAGTGACATTTTGAATAATAATCGAGTTCTGTTTCTCACGAAAAATATGTTCCCTTGACAAAAATAAAAGCATCCCCCTTCCATTTTCCTAGACAGTCGGTAAAATGTATTCCATGTGCCAAAATATTGAAACCAAAGCTCTGTAACTAACTGTTTCGGCTTTCTGTGCGTTGGTTTCGAACTTATAGCGACATTAGGTCATATCTCTCGTTTTCAGCGCTCAAATAGTTTCTTTGCTTGGCACAGAGCCGAGATAACTCATGCAGCCTATTTTTGGTATCGGCATTGTTTTTTTTATAAGAAAAATGAAATAGTTTTTCATTGTCACTCTAAATGTATTTTTTAAAACTAATACTTTCGTCAAAATTATGCTAATTCGCTGATCAATAACTGACAGCTAATATTTAGGTGTTTTTAGATGGTTAGTTTTATCAACATAAAAATTGACCAATCCTAGCCTATGTCTATGGACTTATCTGTGAATGTGGCATGTTTGTAGCACAGTTTTTACTGCGCCTTCTCGCATTTAATGCGGCAACAGTATGGCTCGCTTAATTCGTGAGCAGCAAGTGCTATTAACGGGGTATCTCGACAGGATAGACTTTATAGAATGCTACTTGCATTGCCGTGCCGATTGCCTGTGGAGACTCCACATTGCTCATAGCTTACCATATATAGAATACTTTCTAGTTTGCCATATCTCGTAAGCTATGAGCTGTCACTTCAACCGTTTGGCAGCGCTGTTTCATTTTTATGAAAATTTCGAAGAGGCAACATATCCCATTTGCACAAATGCCGACGGCATTTTCATTTCGGTAATATGAAGTTTAGTAGAGCGAGTATTAAGACGGTTGTGTTATATTATAAAAATAAAGTACATTTTCAAAACAACATTTTTCCAAAAAATTAATATTGTTAATTTACAGAAAAATTATGCAAATAGGGTTGGGAATTAGCGAAGTCTTAAATTCAATAAACTTATACAAGCATAAATCCAAATATCATTGCTCATCTTGAGTTTATTATTTTAAATGGTATATCAAATTTATGCCAAAATTATGAGTCCAAAAATATGAATTCTTATTTTTCCCACAAATATATTTGTAAAAAAAAGTAATACTGTTTTTTATTTTCCTCATTTAAACGGTTCAAGAGCTCGAAACATGCGCTACATCAGCTACCTACCCGAAGGCATTTCGCAAATGATAAAATAAATTTTTCAAGAGCTCAAATCATGCGCTACATCAGGTCGAACCTATCTACCCTACGCCTTTACGCAAATGATTATATCGTGATAGCAAATGCCCACATACGGATTTGGCAGTGGCAATAGCAATACGTTTGACAGTTAGTATTCTATAAATTCTATCCTGTCGAGATGCCCCGTAAGAGCCGCTGGATGTACGACACGGACAAACCACATGTGAACCTATATATACGATATAACCGCATGACCAGCAGATCGTCGCATTTATTTGCTGTTGCCGCACTTGTGTGCGGGTGTCTGAGAGTGCCTCGATAAAGCTGTTACAACAAATTACGTAATGAATATCCTTTTATCGTTATAATTTGTTCATTATTATTAGCCCAAGGGGTGTGAAATCTGGTTTTATTGCGTCTCACCCCAACTTTATGTCTCATTGAGCTTTTATGTGTGTGTGTGCTTACATGCGTAGTCAGGTATTAAATTTGTATTTAAAATTATTGCATATAATCACACTGTAAGACCTTCAATATCTGTGTACATATGTCTACATAAATAAGTCTGAATAAAATGATGGATGGATGTGTTGACGGCTATAAGCTAATTTAAGTATAAGCCTTTCAACAAATTCGAATTTATTTAACTAGGTAGGTGATGATTTTCTAAGCGAAGTTTCTTAAGAATTAAATTTAAATTAATTTTGCACCTCTTGTAGCTCAAAATGATGGATGACAGCTAAATATTAAATAAAAGAAGTGATTCATTTATGATGTTGCCAAAATCGCATACATTCATTTCTGGAGTACGGTTGATTTAAAGAGACATGGTAGTACTGGTAGAGCAGTGAGCCAAGTGTGTGTCTCAAGGCCATTTTCAAATTATAATTGCTAGTTAAATTCGAGTGACATTTATTCATGAGGATATTATTTAAATTAATGAACTTATGGATTTTTTAATACTATTAACCAGTAAAAATGACATTGACGTGACTTTGGTAGCTTGTAGCATTAAAAAGTTGGTCTACTGATAGGAGACAACTTTCTGTGTTTATATGAGCTTTTGCCCTTTAGTAAATATTGATAAGATCAATACACAACGAATGAAATAATAGCTAAATTTAAAATCACGTCTTAAGACAGGTTATAAAATTGTGTAAGTAATGACATATGCGATGAAATTGAGTCTAAAGTGTACGACCCTGAGGTTTATTGAACACCTTATGTCGTGCATTTCTCTATGACTAGATAGGGTAAGTATATTTGTAAATGACTAGTATACAGAATTGTAACCAACAATTCCTTTGGTAATATTTTATGCAAAAATGTTGGGAGGCTGAGTGTCTGACGACGTATCTAGGCCTTTAGGCATTGTCAAACGACCGAGAGTAAAATCACGACATTTTGTCCTCTGTAAACCACCCTGTGTTCCCGATGAAGTTTATAAATACGAAAAGGTTAATTTATGCAGTATTTGCTGGTTGAGTCAGTTAGGGATTGACTTCACCGAGAATCAGCTATATTTATAACGTATTCGTCGATTAAATATCTAAAAGTAGCCAGAGGCATATATATTTCTTCTTTAATGAAGTTGAGGGGTGGTGCCTGCTCTGGCTTGTCTATCTGCTTTACAGTTACCAGGAATCGAAACAGAGCGGTGTTCTGAAGCCCTTTGTAGGTTTATCATAAAAGAATATTATAAATCCACCAAGAGAGCAATGTATTATTTCACTATGTTGGGTGAAATCTTGACATATTTTAGTGTTTAGATCCTTCCGTATAGATACTTATCCCCATATACTTATACACATCATCCCTATCCCACTCTTCTTTGAAGGGAAGTTAGAAATGAAGAAAATGCAAAATAACTTTTAGCCCCAAAAACCGATGTTTAGCATCTATTTGATTTCTGGAAAGCCAATCAATTCAACATTAATCCATTCATTTTTTTTTCATTTTTACTTCTGTGCAAAAAAGTAACAGCCCGTATCAGTTCTCTATCGCTTTTAAATGTACTATATAGAAATAAATATGGGATGAAGCAACTGCCTTTAATATGCATTATTTAAATACTAAATGCATAATGTGAATGAAAATAATAGTAATTTAATTGCTGCAGAAAAATGCTGAAAATTATCTTAAAAGTTTTGTTATATGATGATTATAGATGATACGAATAATTCATTGACAACCCGTGTCACTTCACTGTGCAGCAATGCAGTAACATTTTTTATATAGTCCGACTTCAATATGAACTCGTGCAACTTACTTTCCGGAGGCCAGTTCTCGACAATGGTAGATAAAATCATTATTAGTATTAATTCATTAATTTATTATATTTTTAATTATGGTTATTGGAGATCCTTATAGCTGATGGAGATTATTTCTTATTTTATATATTTAACTGATTTATTTGGGAAATGTGAAGTTTCAAAGGTATTAACTCTTAGAACATAACTTTCTATATATACTAAAGGGCTCTGCTGACAAGTTACACACATTGAGTGTCCATTTTCTGTTAATACCAATCCCTTAATACCTTTTTGCGCCCTTTACTGAAGGTTACAGTATTTCAAACTATTTCGACATCAGATAGTGACATATTTGCTTCCGGGCATACTTACTGAGGTTTCTATAGCAACGCCTACATGCGCTAACCTAATACAGTCACACTAATCTCATAAAATAACATTGACAAATAACAACTGTAGTCTACTTTAGAGCAGCTTTGAGAGTTTCGTGTACTCAATCGTCTTTAGGAAATCAACGTACTCAACTTACTCATGGTGAGGTAATAATGGTCATCACACCCAAAAATTCCAGTGTTCAATTAACTCAAAGTTTTGTGATGGAAATAATTTTTGGAGAACGGTAAGAGAGGGAGCAGAGGCATACCGTAGAATAGAAACCAAATGAATGTCCTAAAGAGAATAAAAAAGCTCGCCAACAAGTTGTTCAAAAACTGTTAACCCCTTCATTCGGTTACCGCCAAAGTAAAAATAGAAAATAACATTTATTCGTATGTGTGTACTTACCTACAGTATATGCCAATCATGACCAGACATGGAAAGTAGAAACTGATACAACTGGATACTACCGCATAGGTTGGCGTCAGGTCCAGCGCGCACGTGGGATACCGCTTTCCATTGTCTTCTACAATTAACGGCTGCTCCGGTCGATGCAGACCCAACGAGATTGGCACAAACGAGACAAATCCGGCCAGCAGCCAAATGGCAGCGATTGTAATGACTGCGACACGTCGTGTCACCCAGCGACCATATCTGTAAAGGCACACGAAAGAGAGGAAAAGAGAGAATGAGTTAGCAGACAAACAGGGCAGCAGAGCATGCAATGCAGTAAGTGGGGACTTTTACTAAGTAGGTAATACCCGAGTATGCGTGTGTGTGAGTTCTGATTTTTTTGCGTTACTGAGCTCTGTGCACACATTTTGTGGCATCCGGCATACTGCTGAAAATTGTGTGTCCATGCGTAATTGTCATGACAGTGAAAGGTCCGACTGATGACGTTGCGGTCGCCGTGGTGTTTCTTGCTGCATTGCTGTTTTGTCTTTGTTAGCTGCGGGCTTGCGGATGACAATACTTTTTGCGCTGTAACCGCACGTTCTGATTGGAAAATAGCAATTTTCTAAGCCAACATGTGAATTTTTCATTCAGTCTGTTATTGAAACATTGTCTGATTACCTTTGCAATTGCAACTGACAGCCGTTGTCGGCGACTTCTAACCAAAAATCAATTACACTGAACTCACAAGTTTTACTAGTTTAAAAAAGAAACTTTGTCACTTTACTTACTATTAGGAATAGTTGTCAATGGAAAGCTTTAGAATATTTCGATTGGCAGAATTTGGAATGATATTATTAGTTTAGGTTAACTGACGTGTTTTTCTTCTTTTTGACAAAATTTTATAATATTAAATTTTTATTCTAATTTATTTAATTTTCCAACAGTGCATTTTCTTTCATAAGAAGGCACTACTGCACAAAACCTGACTTTAGAATAAAGAACGTAATACGGTGCAACGTTTTTAAAAAATAATGTTGAGCGATGTAAACGGATGTTTATATTAGCTTACATGAATCGAGATAGATGTGAAGGTATGTGTATGTAATGATCGGGATAGCAAAACGAGCTAAAATCTGGATAACTATCTATCTGTCCGTCTGTCTGTTCAAGCTGTAACTTGAGTAAAAATTGAGATATCGTAATGAAACCTGGTACACCTGATACAGCTGTAGTTTGAAAATGTTTAAAAAGTGGGCGCGACCTCTTCCTCTAATAGGTTTAATACATATACCTCGAAAAACATTTAATCTATTTAGCGTGGCATCTCCCACATTTAGGTGGAATCACCTACAAACGGAAAAAAATAAACGAAAAAAAAAATAAAAAAATAAAAAAATAATAAATAAATAAATAAATAATAAAACAAGGGGACACTTAGTTGTGGTGACTTTAAGTCGATGTAGTGTTAACAAATCAAACTTTATTATAGAAGTAAGTATTTATTTTAGTAAGTGCATTATTCAGCTATAATAAAACACTTTTAATTATAAAATAAAATTAGGAAAAAGTTCATAAATGGCTGAAGTTGATAACCTGCAATTTTGGCTTTGCGACTATGCGCAAAATTAGTCATAAAATAAATTTTAGCAAAACTACTGTCGCTGCTTTCCTACAGAAATAAGACTAAGTCGGAGTGAGGCGGACTAAGTGCCTGTCGACCTATCAAATAGTGGCTTTTAGATGGTAAAATGCATCTCTTGTGTTCAGCTGTGTAATTTCGTACTCCTGTAAATTTATTTAATTTATATTTAAAAACTGTAGTGAAAATTTTTGAATTAAGTGATCCGTAAAGATAAGTATCTCTGTGATATTTTGCTATTAAAGCATTTGAAATTTACTTCAATTGTGTGTTGGTAATTTTGCGAGTTTTTTACTTTTCGTGGGTCGCAGTGCATCTCACATTGCTTGCTGGCTACATTGGTTGTTTCCTTTGATAACTTATAATGCATTTATTTGTTATAAATATCTTTGTCTTTTCTCTTTCCAGTTTTTTTATTCCAATTTTTTTATATTTTTATTTAATATTGTTTTTTATTGTTGTTTTTGTTGAGTCGGAACGCTTTGTTTCTTGCTTGCGGTGTGACGGGCTTGCCCATCTGAAATGTGCTGGACTGACGGAACGAATATTGGATTCTATTATTGATAGTAAGGGCTTGCGATGAAACTGTTACAGAGCATGGTTATCGAAAACCTTCTCAGGATCCGCCTCCAAATAACTGTAAGTCAAGTAATTAAAATCTAATTGTAATACCGCGGAAAAAAGCAATAATTATGTCAAGACTTGCTGCGGATACCACGGTCGATGACATAAAGAGTTATATCTCGTCGAAATTAAAAATGGAGATATAGACATCCGAAAATTTAATTTCAAATATGACAGGAATATTTCATCTTTTAAGGTCGATGTATCCGCTGAAAACTTTCAATTTTTACTTGACAGTTGTCTGGCCATCTGGGGTCTTTGTGCGCGAATTTGAGCATAAACGTTTTAAGTCTCCTAAATTTGCCACTAAAAGGCCAAGAAAATCCGTTGATACAAAAAACTTATTAACAGTAATTCGCTGAGTTTTTATTATCAAAATTTTAGAGGCCTTAATACAAAATTTACTGATCTGTATTTAAATAGCGTCAATTATAATTTTAAAATCATTGCTTTCACAGAAACCTGGTTTAAGCACCACATTTTTGATAATGAAATATTCAATAGCGAATTTGAAATCTTTAGATATGACCGGCTGAGCAAAATAGGAGGTGGTGTCTTGTTCGCTGTTCATTCTTCAATTCCATCCGAAGAAGTCGACGTTCCGCACGCAGACTTCATAGAATTTAAGTGCATTCGCATTTGCGCTAATAGTGGCCATATCTATGTACTTAACTTTATCTTATATGCCGCCGCAATCGGACTTATCTGTATACACGCTGCATGCTTCTTTAATAAAAAATGTTTTCTCCATGGCTAGTGATACTGATTCCTTCATTGTTTTGGCCGATTTCAATTCACCGTGTGTATCATGGAAATCTATTGATGATTACATCATTCCGAGTACTAATCGCTCATATTTTAACGAGTTCTTAGATGAAATGTCGGATTTGAGTCTTAACCAAATTAATTTAATTTCAAACAAGTTTGATAAGTTCTTAGATCTGGTTTACGTTGATAACGCCTCAATATTTTTTGTTGTCAGAAATGATCCTTTGGTTCTACCAGAAGACTCGTATCATCCTGCTTTGGAAATTAATATCGAAATCATTACCAATTTAGTTCATAATATTTCACATGACTTTTGTTCTCGTTTCAACTTTGCGAAAGCTAATTTTAAGAAGTATAATTACGAACTTTCTAAAGTAACTTGGCCAGATTACAGTGGCTATATTGAATTTAGTGCTTCCTACTTTAATGAAATTATTTTAAACTTATTTGAAAAATATGTTCCGAAGTGTGTTGTTGCTCAAAAAAAGAGTTATAGTTTATGGTTATCGAAAGAATTATGTAAATAAAAAAATAGAAAATCTCGTGCTTTTAAACTTTTTAAGAAAACTGGTTTAGTTGCTGACTATTCAAAATATTCTAAATTGCGTCGACAATTTGCTGAACTTAACAAAATATGTTATAATAATAAAAGTAAAAAAAGGTATTATACGTAATCCAAAATTGTTCTATGGTTTCGTCAACTCCAAACGCGGGATTTCTAATTTTCCGTCCGCTATAAAATATAAGTCTAGTATGTCCAGTGACAATCACACCATTTCTAATATGTTCGCTGAATTCTTTAGGTCCAATTACTCTCCAAAATCTCCAAAAAATGTTCCGCATCAGCACAAGTTATGTCCGATTTCTGTAATTAATGCACCCTCCATTTCCGAAGCAGACGCCTTATATCAGTTAAATATATTAGAACAATCATTCAGTTTTGGCCCAGATATGATTCTCTCATGATTTCTTAAAAAATGTGCCAATATTTATACCATCCTTTAACGAAACTATTTAACTCATATCTTAAGCAAGGCATATTCCATCTATATGGAAAAATAATTTTTAATTCCGTTACATAAGAGTGGATTTAGGTCATCCATTGAAAATTATAGAGGAATAGGAAAGTTGTCAGCAACACTTAAACTTTTTGAAGCAATTATAACAGAAGACATAACATTCCGGATTTCTCCACTCCTTTCTTATTCCCAGCATGGTTTTCGTAAAGGGCAATTTACAGTAACTAATTTGCTCGAATTTGTATCACATGTATCAATGGGCTTTAGGGATAATAATCATACATAAACAGTTTTTACTAAAGCTTTTCATAAAGTAAACCATTCGATTCTTTTGAATTTTCTTCTTGGTTTTGTTCCAATATTTATAAAATGGGTTGTTTCTTATCTTAGTAATAGAATTCAACAAGTCTTATTTAACGATACCTTTTCTGACACAATCAATGTTGTCTCAATCGTTCCTCAAGGTAGGCATCTTGGCCCAATTCTGTTCTTGTTATTTATTAATGACATATCACCTGTTATTAAATATTTTATAGTTTTATTATATGCTGGTGATGTAAGTTTTTTCATTTGTCATTCACTTCACTTCAGTTGCAAGCACACTTAAACAACCTAGTTTCTTGGTGTGATAGAAATGACATGCCATTGAATCTTAAAAATGTAAAACGATGTGCTTTTCACGTAGATCTGTAGACCCTAATTCATACGTAATACAAAATTTTAGGTTGGAGCAAGTATGCAGTTTTGTTGACCTGGGAGTAACTATGGACCCCAAACTTAATTTTAATTTTCACACATCTTCCATGGTTTTTAAAGCTAAAGGTGCTSTAAGTTTTGTTAAACGTTGGTCTAAAGAATTTAGAGATCCGCTTACCACAAACATTCTTTTTACATCTTTGGTGAGGCCTATATTAGAGTATGCTTCCGTGGTATCGAACACTTGTTATCAATTCCATTCTGAGAAAATAGAGTCTGTTCAAAAACAATTTTTACTTTTTGCCTTAAATCATTTGCATTGGGATTCCAGTTTAAATCTTCCCCCTTACACTAACCGTTTAAAACTTATAAATATCCCTACACTCGCTAGTCGTAGGGAAATGCTTGGTATAATATTTCCTGTAAAACTCATGAATGGGTCAGTCTGTAGCCCATCTCTCTTATTTGATATTAATTTAAACGTTCCCGCTGGCTCTACTAGGCAGTTTAGG